AACTCTAATTCTCCCAAATATTGCAGTAGAATGCTTGTCATACCTGCATTTCATGGGTGCCAGATTAAACAAGTCACATTGAGACAATGAATGTTGCTTGCTGAGTTGCTTTCAGCTGCAAAAGGGGCAATGAAGAGGGTCTGGATTTGCTTCAGAGGTCTAGGAGGTAGAAAGTCAGGGCAATGGTAGTCTCAGGGATAGAGTAGATGTCATGGCATGTAGCCAGCTGAAGTATTCTTCATGCTTCTCACTGCCCAGTCCTTTACTGACATTTGAAAGGTCCAGACTTCCACACCAGGGCTTTGGGACAACTGAAATGGAGGCAAATGGGGCATTCCACACCAGGGCTTTGGGACAACTGAAGTGGAGGCAAATGGTTTCCACTTTGGTTCATGCAGTACAACTCACAAAGCTCCATGTAGTCTCAGTTCATGTCAAACCTTAATGAGACATTTGATGCTTTTGGTGATAGCATTAAGGAAAAAAAAAAAAAGAGGGCAATGACAGGGTAAAAAATTAGGTCTTGTGTTACCACCTGATCTTGCAATGAGGACAGGTCAGAGGACAAGCAAATGTCCAGTTGCAAGGATGTGTAGCTGGACTTGGAAGGCACCCCAAATTTTGATCAGGTCTCACAGAACTGGGATTCTACAATAGTGCAGGATGGGTCTGTGCTGTTACTCCACTTCATTCACCAGCATGAGAGGCTATGGAAGGAAAGGGACATGCCTGGTGCATGGTGCATGCAGATGTCTTAAGATAGGAGATTTAGCAGAAAATTTCTCCTGTTACAAATAAACCTAAGACCAAATCTCTTTGCTTCCCTTCGCTTCCCTTCGCTTCCCTTCAGGTGAATGAAGCCATGTTCTGCCTTCATTTTTTAATGAAGAATGTGCCAGATTACTGAGAGGGAGTCTGGCAAGAGCTCTGCTCTATGCTTTTTTGCATGAGCAGTGATCACATCTTGCAATCTGCCTAACAATTGTCAACATGAGGCTCTCCCTGGGCATTCACAACACCAGAGCAGCAAGAGATACCAGCGAGTGATCTCATGCTAAAGAATCAGGCATGACTTTCAGTCTCTTTGGTCCTGACGGTCACCAAGAGGAGATTTTCAATTTTTTTCATTGCACTGGAGGACAAGCAAGATGGCACATTTTTGCACAGTGCTGTCACTGGTCACAGTTGGCCTAGGGCCCTGTTCAATAGCAGCCGTGCTCTATTAGGGAACGTGCTTTGGCTTGAAGTTTCTTGGCTCAACTAGGTTGAAGCTGGTGCAGAGGTTCAGCATAAACATTGCAGTCTGGGAGCTCATTCAGTGCAATGGAAAGGTGATGGGCAGATTTGAAAGACAGACATTTCTGTTTATTCAAGACCTGAGTAGCAGTTTGCATTTTTGCTTGTTACCAGTCTAGGTCATCTGTTTTCCAGCCCCCACTGGATACTGAGTTGTCTCTGAAACCAGTGCTGGGAATAGGGTGAGGACAGTATTAAATCTGAGCCAGAGCAGGAGGTTATTTTGGTTTCCATGCTGGAATTATACAGTTATGTGGTTATGTGTGTGTTTCTACCTAGCCACTTTATTTTTTGCTTTCAAAAAGCATATTCCCATCAACTGCTATTAAAATATTTTGTCACAGTTACAATTACTGTGCCTCACTCTGATTTTCTATCTTGATGAAAGCTTGAAGAAAGATGACAACATTTTAAACTTTCTCATGGGATGAGACATAAAGGGGAGTGGGATTTGTATGTGTGTGTTTTGTTCCGGGAAGGATTAAACGTGGCTGTCCTTGAAGAAAGGACTTTTCAACAAGACAGTGAAAAACTCAACAAATTTTAGCAATAAACCATAGTCAACTGATGATCAAAGGGATTATGTGAAGTGCAGAGATGAAAAGGAGGGGGAGAGACTGGTACTGCTTTT